ATATATATATATATATATGACTTTATACTTGACTTTACCAAGTATATATTGTTATCAAGTTAACAGAAATATTAATATAAATGAACAAGTGAAATTAACACTAGAACAACTGTATCAAAATATGTGTATATATCTAAAATATGTACACAAATAAATCATTACAATCTAAATGGCAATTAAAGTAAATCAGTCATACTTACAATCAGTCAAACGGATTCAATTGTCATAACCTCAAAATAACAGAATTGTACAATTACTTATATATAAAAAACTACTTCTGTAATGATAATTAGTGTTGTACAATTCAGAATTGTACAATCATTAATAAAACTTTTGTAACGATAAAAACGAAAGCCTGAAACTGGACATACTAATGGATTCGATTGTCATAACCTCAAAATAATAAAATTGTACAATTACTTATAAAAGACTACTTCTGTAATGATAATTAGTATTGTACAATTCAGAATTGTACAATCATTAATAAAACTTTTGTAACAATAAAAACGAAAGCCTGAAACTGGACATACTAATGAGTTCGATTGTCATAACCTCAAAATAACAGAATTGTACAATTATTTACAAAACTTCTTTTGTAATAGTACAATAGTACAATAGTACAATAGTACAAACTGTAATAGTAGAATTGTATAATTATTGATAAAACTTCTGCGATAGCTCTAATGAGCAATAAATATTTTTCCACAGACAATTGTCACTTCAAACATCCTACTGCCGGGGAAGCTTGTTAACAAGCTGTGTCCACGATCGTGGCCACGTGATCAACAGAGTGAGGACGTTTTCTGAAAAATCCTGCAGCCAATGTCCACGATGGTCGGTATTGAAGGCAAGACCGTGTTATTCACTGTCGAACCTTGATTGCAGTCGTCATACGGGGGGAATCCGTTCGCAGTTCGTGCCTGAGTTTCTTCAGGTAAATTTAGGCGTCCGGTCGTTCACACCGATTCACTCCAGTCTGAACTCTCCGTCTCGCATCAGCCGGACTGGTTCCGGAAGGTCGCTTACTTTTCACCGAACAACGAAAACCTTCGACTTCTGCCGAAGCGTTTGGGTCGAGCCCACGTGACTCTGCCTGCTCTCTAGAACAAAGCACTTCCTATATCTTCCTTAAGATCTCGAGTTTCCCACGGTTCTCAGTTTCACCTATCTGTTCGAACCTATCGAGCCAGCGAAGTTCGTTCGAAGAAACAGAGCAAATAATTGAACTACTTTCGAAAATAATCCAAGGTCCGACAAATGCGACACACGCATGAGGGAGGGATGGCTGAAAAAAGACAGGCGACAGGCGTGTATGGTCGCGCGATTACGTCAATTCCGCGCGGCTGGCTGAGAGGAGAAAGAAGAAAAAGAATTCCATGTGACGCGGAGACACTTAATCGAAGCGTTTCGCAATAAACGCACAGGCTACCTGCAGCCGTCAGACGTGGATTTTTAACTCGGTTTACATAAGCGAGCGTGCAACAATCCGATCGAAACGGCGCAACGACAATTCATTTATAATTCGCTGCTCTGTCGATCGTGACTGTGGTAGCGTTACAGTGCAAAGTCCTCCAGTTCCCTGGAAATTCTACGAACCGGGCTATTAAC